CCAGCCAGGCGACTGCGCCACTGACCCTGGCGGCGCTGCTGGCGGGGCCCTCCTCCTCTCAAAGCCGTGAAAAGGAGTCTGCGCCTGAGCGGTCGCCGCGCTGTCTGCACGGGCGCTGCCGTCGCCGCCAGGTGGCCCAACGTGTTCGCGTGAGCTGATGGCACCGCCGCTGCTGCTGGCGCCGGCTCCATTGCCGCGCGCCACAGGGAACGAGGGGCGGGGGGGCGTGCCCTCGCCTGGGGCCGCAGTGTGCTGCAGCGACCCCAGGAAACCAGCAATCGCCTTGGCGCCAGCCTGCCCCTCGCTGGCGCCCTGCGAGTCGTGCCTGCCCCTGTCTCGCAGCTCCTCCAGACGGCGCTGCCGCCTTGGCGCCGCCTGCCGCCAAATCGTCTCGACCATCTCGCGGAGCACCCGGTCCGCGGACGGACCCCCCCAGCTCGCAGCGCCTCCTCCGTCGGGATCGCATGGGGCCGCCGCCCCGGCAAGACCGCAAGGTAGGGTCGCACCAGTCGGGCCACGTGTGCGCCGCGCCCTCCGCGTCTGCGAGGCCCCCCAGCCAGCCCAGCCAGCCGCCCGCCCAGTCGATTGCCGTGGCGATCTCATTGATGTTTAAGGCCTCGTCGATCTTGTTCGGCATGGCTGCGGCTGTGGTCTGCCGACCAGCCGCAGGTGGAGCACGTTGAAGCACTTCTCGCCTGGCGCGCTCCACCGCTTCGGTCGCCACTGGAGGGCGCGGGTGCGGCAGGGCCTCGAGCCCCCATCCACGCCTGGTTTCTGCCATCCCTGCCATCCCCAGGGCCATCGCCGTCGGCGCTGGACTCGGGTCAGCTGCTGCGCTGTTGGCGCTGCCCGCCCGCATGGCTGGTCACATCAATACCCCCCCGCCTGCCACCGCTGCCATTGCCAGGGTCGTCGTCCACCTCGCCAGCAGGGTGGCCAGCTGCTGCCGTGGAAAGATTAGCACCGACCGCGGCAACGTGTGGCTCCAGCTCAACGAGGCAGCTTGAACCTGCAGCATCCCCCATCGGGGCGCCCGCAGGAATTGAGCCTGAGGCGTTCCCCTGCAAAGGGGGTTCCGCTGGACGTTGCATTCTAACACCATCGTCTGCCGCTGCACTGGTAGCTGTGGGCCCGCTCTCCACTGGTCTCACCATCGCCATCCCCGCGCTACTGCATGGCCTCGCTCTGTTGTCCGCCTGTCTGGCGCCCAGCTTCGACCCCTCGCTGTTGTCGGGTCCGGAGGAGCCCTGGGCACTGCCGTCGCCGTCGCTCCCCACCGCGCCGCCTTCTTCATCGTCTCCGCGTTGCTCGCGAGCGCCTTGCTCCTGCCTGTCGCTGGCTGGGGACCGAGACCGACTGCGCCTCCGCTGCTCCAGCGGCTCTGGCGCGCGCGGATTGTTTGGCATTGGGGCTGCGCGGGGCTGGCGATCAGGCGCAGGCCGCCCGACCAGAAAAGCGCGGGTCACCCGCCCGAGCGCCATCAGTCGCATCGTCTCGCAATCGCGGTCGCCCCCTTCCAGCGCGCGGACTCTCGCGATGCGCTCCTCGCGTCGCCCTCTGGCCTCGCGCCAGGCGTCGGCGCAGACTTCAGCGGCGACCTGCCGCTCCACTCGGCTGGCCGCGCGGTCGTCCAGCTCGCGGGCCAGCGCGTCGAACTGTAATGTGGGGCGCCGCCATGACGCGGGCCACGCAGTCTTCTGCCCCCCCTCTGCTGTGCCCAGCCTCAATGTACCAGCTGGCAAATTCTTGGAGCCTTGCACGAAGGGGCCGCAGATGCTGGCGCGCCATGTGCACGCGCGGGTCCGTCCTATGCTCCACGTCGTCCGCCTGCAGGCTGCTGCGGCCGCTGCCGCGCGCCTCCTCGTCGCCGTCGTTGCCGGCACTCGGCGTCAGCTCGGCCTCTTCGGCCGGCCCGCCAGACCCAGGCGCCCCGGCACGGGCCAGGCCTCCTTCTGCATCGCCGGGCCCCGATCCCACGACGCCATCGGAGGACCGCGCGCGGGCCGACCCCCCATTCCCCGATGTTGCAGCGCCCTTCGCAATGTCAGGTGCCTCTCCGCCAGGTCATGGGCAACCGCGCTTCACCGAAGGCGTTGAAGTCGCCCTGAGGTGGCCTGCCGCGCGTGGTCCACGTCGACCCCCGCGAGGAGGCACCACGACCGCGCCGCGGCCCATTCATTGCCCCTTCCGCCCCCTCGCAGGGACAGCCCTCAGACACCGAGGTCGCCAGCTCACGCCTCTCCGCATCTGCCGTCGGGCCCGCATCTCTAGCCGCGCCCGATCTCCTGCGCGGGGGCCGCGCGGGGGGGGGGGGACCTCGCCGCTGCGGGCTGGTGATCCACCTCCCTAAGGCCCTGTGCATAGCATTGTGTATCATGGCAGCTGCCCGAAGCTGCTGGCGGTTGAGTCGCGAGGCCCGTGGGCGCGCTGACCCAGTCGAAGCGCGCGCGCTGCGTCATCCCCGCCGCGCAGGACTCGCACCAGCGGCTCCATTTGCCCTCGGCGCCCGACTCCTCCCCGAGTCCCTGCGCGAGTCTGGCGACGCGGGCGGCGCGCCCTCGCGAGGCCGCCAGGGGGTCGCAGCTGCCTTCCTGGCGGCACCTCGGGCTGCGGCGGTGGGCGGGTGCACTGGCCTGGCCCAGCGGGGGCGCAAACCGCCGGGCCTCCCTGCCCGCCCTTCGCCTCGGCGTTCGCAGCAAGCACCGCGCCTCGCCGTCCAGGCCGGTCGCGCCTGGAATGCAGGGGGAAGGCTACCGGGCCGCATCCAACGCACTGCGCGCCAACCTGTTCAGTGCCTCGCCTGCTGAGCATGGTGGCATCCGCATGCCTCGATCAACCTGGCCTCGGGAGGAGCCGCCACGCGACGCGGTGTTCTCGGCTCATCAGGCGAGGGGCCCCGCGCCCCGACCTCGGCAACCCTGCCGGCAGCCCAGTCGCCGAGACGCGCCTTCTGCAGCGCCGCCGCGAAGTTCACCCCGATGTCAACCCCGAAGCTGGCGCTCGTCTGCGTCTCCAGCATGACCGGCATCGCGAACATGTCGGCCCGCAAATTGCCGAGCCACTGCGCGTCATCGAGCCCGAGGTCCACCGCTTCTTGCGGGGTCTTGTGCAACGGTATCTAAGTGAATCGAGGGGGGCTCCGCTGCCCTCCAGGCCTGATGGCCACGACGTTGCGCATCTTCATCCAGATGTCAGCTCGCGTGCCATCTGCCTCCGTCGCCTGAGCCTCCTGGGCATTGCCCTCCCGAACCTCGATGCCTGGCCCAGCTCTCACCGCCAACGGCGCAGCGAACCTCTCCCTGCGCGGGGCCCTTCGAACTCAGCCAAGTACGATGCCATAGCGGGCTCTTAGAGGGGGCCGTCCGCCCCGATCTGCACCATGGCCCAGCTGATCGCTTGGGTCTCGGGCCCTGCCACCCAGCCGCGTCGCCCCCCCGAGATCACGCGTCGTTGGCCAGGCCCTGGGGGGGGGCACGAGGGTGGCGCGACGGGGATGCACGGCGCCAGCTCGAACGTGTCGTAGTCGGGCAGGCCGTCGCGCATCGCAGGCTTGCCCTCGCAGCCGTTCTCGGGCATGCCCTTCAGCATGGCGGGGACGTCCGCGGGCTTCGCCATCCGCGTGGCGCTTGGGCGCAGCGCAGATTCCACCGGTGGTCGCGCGTCTCGCGCGGGTGCCCGCAGCGCCGACGATCCTCGTCGGGGCGAGGCCGCGCGCGCGCCGCCGCCTTCTTGCCGCAAGTCGTAGCCATCATGTCCCTGACCCACAGCTGCTCCCCGTTCCACTCCTCGAGGTGGGCCTGCACTTGCCAGGCTTATCACCTCTGTCTCTCGTCGTGCGGCTGCGACTTGACGACGTGTTGGCAGTCGGTGAGGAGGCAGACAGACTGGCCTCGGTCATCCAGCATCCCGCGGGTTGAAATCGCCCTCCAGGAAATATGCTGCAACGTCGGCCCGATAGGCGCACCGGCCATCGGCCAGCCAGGGTTGCCGCTGAGCGCGTCGTCGATGCGCCCCCACGCGGCCTGCGCCTGCGACAGCTCCGCTCGCTGCTGCCAGATCCACAAGGCGCACTGCAGCGCCACCTGGCTCGCCACGTAGATGGGGTCGAAGCGCGGGTGGGGATGCATCATGAGGGGCAGCGCGAAGCTCGCCGCGGGTCTGGCGCCAACCAGCCTGCAACCCCGCCCGCGCGCTTGCTTGAGCAACAATCCGTGCGGCGCCACGGGGGCAAGCGCCGTGAGCTGGAGCTTAACCACACTCAGCCCGACCGTCTTGGTGAGACAAATGATCCACCGCTTTCGTCCCTTGAGGACGTCGAGCCGAGCTCGTTCCCAGTGCAGACGGGGTCGCGTCCCTGACATCTCGTGGCCGAGGCTTCACATCCAGCTCTTGAGCTCTACGCCCATGCGGTCCGCGTGGGGACTGGAACCGTCGCGTGAATGATACCGCGGCGGGCGCGAAGCCCATCTTCTTGAGCTGCACTAGAAGAATAAAGTCCTCGAGGTCCTGCAGCAGGCGCTGCGCCACCCTGGCCATGCAGCGCGCGTGCTCCTGGCTGCGACAGACCTTCTGGACGCCAACGTCCTCGACCAGCTGCCTTGGTCGCGCGCCGTTCCTCGGGCTGCCGGCCTTTTTCCATGGCCCGCTTGGTGAGCACCGCCAGCGCCGCGGTCGCATGGGCGCATCCTGCTATGGCCCCCTGGCTGGGGCAGCGCGGCTCCAAGACGTCGCCGAAAGTCTGGTTCTTTCGCGGCTGCTGGCACGTGCGCATCATCATATATAGATGCCCGGGCGGGAAGCCCACCTGCAACACCTCAGACATCAGGAAGGGCGGGCGCGCCGCCTCGAAGCACTTCCAGATGTCGACGCATAACGCGATGGTGCTGCGCCCCATCGCCCCATCGCCTTGGCCATCTACGCCGCCAGGTTGTGGTCGAACGCCGGCTCCACCGAGCAGCGCCCCTAGCGGGTGCCCCACGTGCGCTGGGTCCCAGACGCGCGCTCGCGCAGCCACTGATCTGGCGCCGTCTTGCGAGCTCGGCCCCACGCGCCGCTGATCTTGTTCTGGAGGCCGATGACCCTGGCCCGGCCGTCTACCTTGGGGGCGCGAGCCAGCTGGCGCGCGATTCTGCGGGATGGCCAGCTCCCAAGCTGCTCTGCCTGCACGGGCACCTCGCCGAGGGTCTGCAGGGCGTCGCCAGACATGCGCCGCAGCGCCCTCGGCAGCAGCTTCGCGTGCCCAGAAGCGGTCCGCGCGGGGTAGGTGGCAGTGCCCCCCTCTCCGCAAATGAACCGCGATGCTGGGCAACGCTGGACAATTGGCGGCCTGCGGCGGCATCGCCATGTGGCCCTGCCGGCTCGTTTGCAAGATGTCCTTCCACTTGTCGAGCTCGCCGCCCGCCACCTCGCAGGGCTGCGCCTCAGGGGTGTGGCGCAACGTCTCCAGCGGCCGGCGCCCCTTGGCGCGCGCGTGCCCCTGCCCCGCCCCGTTCAGCATGGCGCCTTCGGCCCAGTGCCTCCACGCTGACTGCCTGACGGTGACATTTTGGGCCGCCAACCCATTGGCCTGGGTATCCGCGCGGCTGGCGACGACGCCCTGGGAAGGGCGGTCGAGGGCCGCCGCCCCCCTGCGCAGCAATGCCTGGCCCCCCTCACTGAAAAGCTTCAGGATGTCCTGCCGCCTGGCATCGCCAGCCAGGAAGATGCCGCCGTCGCGGTCGAGTTAGCCCGGGATCTGGCTGGCCTCGCCACGTCGCCTATCGCCATCGCGGGCACCTCTCCGCCTGTCGCGGGCGTTGCGCATCGCCGAAGCGCGCTGGGTCCAAGCGCGGGCGAGCGACGTCGCTGCGGCGCGAGCGTTGACGCGCGTTCGCTTGCATGGCGGCTTCCACCCCGCCTACTTTTAGCTGCAATTGACGCCCTTGGCCACCGAATAGAAGGGCAGCTTGGCCTCGCCGACGATGTCATGGCGATCGAGGATCTCCTCCCCGACGCCCCGCGTTGCGAGTCACCGGGCGACCTGGCCGTTGCGGACCTCGCAGACTGCATCGCCTGCTCCCGTCTCCATGGGGACATCGAGCGCCCCGCGGGCGGATCGGGCGGCGCGGCGCGCGGGGCGCCGAGCGCGCGCCCCCGCGTCTCGCGCGCCGCCCACGGCGGCGCCGCGTGCACCGGCAGGCGCGGCCACGCGCCAGCCCCATGCCGGCCAGAGGGGCGCCCAGTCGGGGAGCGAGGCTAGCCCGGGCAACCTGTTGATGCACCTGCCGGGGATGCGCGCAGGCCCCTCCGCTGCTAACAGCTTGGCCCCCGTCTTCTGGGGCACGCCAGCATGGAATGCCTGCTCGGGCTCGGCGCTGAAATCGCCCGCCAGCTCTCGGGCATGTCCAGCGAGCTCCAGGCGCCCGATGCACTGGGCGGCCTTCCAAAGCAGCGCCAGGTCCTGGGCCCAGCTGATGTCTCCCACTATGAGAAACGCCGACAGACGCACCAGCCCACCTGGTAGGCCCAATGAACGCGGGCGGCAATGATGCGCACGGGCACGATGCAGCCGTCTGTCGCGACGGGCCCGTAGGTGACAACGAAATCCAACCGCGCGAGGGCCGCCGCTGCTCCACTGCTGCCGCCGCGGGTAGCCAGTGCCGGCAGCCGCGCGCCCGCCCAGCCAACGTCATGGGCGGCAGCTTGCACCTCCCCAGCCTCGCAGTTGAGAGTGTGGTGCTCCTGCGCGGAGGCCACCGCAAAGGGGGGCTCACGCCCTGTGGGGCCTCCAAGATGCCGCGCCAGGGGGTCGTGAGCAATGGCTTTCAGGGTCGCGATCTCACTTGCTGGCTGCTTGCCGCTGGCATGGGTCCGTCCCTCCGCGCGCAGAATGCGTCGCCTCAGGCGCGCCAGCGTGCTCGTCCGCCTGCATCTTCGCCGTCGCCACGCTGGCCTCTTCGGCGGCGATCGCGTCGTCGAGGTCAAGATCCTTCGTGCCGAGCGCCGACCTGCAGCGCGCGTCAAGGGCGCGCTCGATGTACCCCTGCCCCGGGGCCGCACTGGGAACGCGTCCACCCATCAACGCCGCTGTGGAACCATCCCGCACCCACCAAGGCAGCGTCTGGCTCCAGCCCAACGTAGCGACACGAACTTGCAGCATCCCCCACCGGGGCATCTAAAGAATTTGGGCCTGAACTGCTCCCCTGCAACGGGGCTTCATCAGGACTCTGCGTTCTGGCACTGCTTGTGGGGGCATCGACCGCCCCTGCGCTGAGGACCCCACTTGTTGCCTCCTTCTCCTCGGCGGCTCTCATGTCGTCGAGGTCAAGGTCGTCCTCGTCGAGCGAAGACCTGCAGCTCGTTACAAAGGCGCGTTCGCTGCGCCCCAGTCCCGCGGCCACGCGGCATTCGTCGCGGGGCATTGGCATGACTCCAGTGCTGCTGGGGTCCCACGGCCACCTTGCTGCGACAACTGTTGCTTGCAGGCAACAGCATGTCGCTTGCACGCCTCGCGCAACGCTGCTGGCCGCTCATCGCCAGCACGCCCATTCAGAGGAGGCAAGGCACAGCCGCTTCCTCCAATCATCCCTCCATCTCGTCCTCCGTCGCTGCCTCGGCCTCCGCCGGCGGCGGAACCAGAGCTGGCTTGGGTGCTGAAGGCGGTGCATCGCCACCTCTTTGCCCAGGGCCATGGCGGCCAGCCGCCGCAATCGCTGCAGTTGGCCTGCCAGACCCCTGGAGTTACACCAAGCCGCGGATCTTGCCGACCTCGGCATCGAGCTCAGCACGGAGAGCGCCCAGGCCCACCACCAACGGCCAACATGTCCAGATGTACTCCCAACTGCTGAGCCGTGACACCGAAAGAGGAAGCCAGGCGCACTCAGCACAGCTGCAGCCCGAGGGGGCTTGGGCGCTTGCGACCGCAGCAGCTCGACGCGCGCCTGCGAGAGCTCCATGAGCGCAATCTCTTCGGCAGCCACTGCGGACGTGGACTGGTCGATGTCCTTCTGCAGCTCTGCCAACTGCAGTTTCTTGGCATCCAGAGCGGCTGCCGTCTTGGTTGCCGCACTGGTCATCTTGTTGCACTTGCTGTCCAGCTCCCGCAGCTGCACGCACAACGGGTTAGCCTGCAGAGCTTCTGTCTGGAGCCAGTCACGCTCCGCAGGGAGCCGCTGTACGGTGGCTGCCACCCCAGGGAAGTTCGTGAACTTGTGAACGCCGTCGATCTGCACAGTGACCTCGTCGAGCCGTGCACGCCAAGCCTGCTCTGCAGAGGGAGGCATGGCAGCAGCTCCCGCAGCGGGGACCCTGGCAGCCACATCGCCGTGGGTCGCTGCTGCCTTGGACGCTGCCTGCAGCGACCGGCACTTCTTTTCCGTGTCCGCGAGCCTGCGCTCCAGGTCCGTCAGCCTGCCTCCAGCGCTGGCTCCTCCACTCGGCGCAACTCCAGCCCTGCCGCCCTTGAACACCGACGGCGCCCCAAGCTCTACGTTGCACAGGTACGCCACGGATTTGGGGCGGCGGTACCCTTTCGCGCGCAGCACCGCGCCACCGTGGTTCCAGGAGCCTTTTTTTGTGGCGCCGCAGGCGTTGGCACCGTTGCCCCTGCGCTGCCTCGGGACGGGTGAGAGTCCAGGCTGCGGCGGCCACGGTGTAGAAGACAGCAGTGAGGACAAAACGACATCGTCTTCCGAGAACTTGGATCAAGGCGCGAGCGACCTCGCGCTGAGAACGCCCGCTCGGACTTGCGGTCGTCGGGTGACGCACTGCCTTGGGCCCAGATGACGATGAATGTGTGTATGTGTGTACGTGTGTGTGTGTGTGTGCGTGTGCGCGAGTGTGTGTGCGTGTATATGCCGCAAGCCAAGGCGCTGAGCGTGTTGCGCGGCCTTTGACCATCTCCATCTACGTCCGCTCTCCTTCGTCCTCGGCCGTCACTCGTTTACTCGTTTCGTGCGCGCTGGTCGATCGCCTGCCTGTCGTGCCGCCATTCGTGTCGCCTGCTGCGCCCTCCGTGCGGGACCCGCCCCCAGTCGGCGGTGGGTTCGCCCTCCCTCTCTTCCCGCCGTCCGCGCCCAAATGGAACATGGTGCTGCCCCCTTCTGAGCCCGGCGCGCGCCGGGCCCTGGCCGTTGCACTTGACTTTCTCCGCATCGTCGCTGCGCGCGAGGCCGCGACCACCAAAAAAGTGTGCGTGCGTGTGTGTTGTGTTGTATGTTGTGTGTTGTGTGTTGTGTATGTGTGTGTTGTGTTGTGCGTTGTGTTGTGTGTTGTGTTGTGTTGTGCTGTGTGCTATGTTTTGTTGTGTTGTGGTGTGTGTGTGTGCGTTGTGTTGTGTTGTGTTGTGTTGTGTTGTACTCTGCTGTGTTGTGCTGTGTTCTGTTGTGATATGTTGAATTGTGTTGCGTTGTCTTGTGTGTTGTGTGGGTTGGGGTTGAGTGTGTGCGTGTGTGTGCGTGGGTGTGTGCGTGTGTGCGTGTGTGTGTGCGTGTGAGTCTGCGTGTGTGTTTGTGTGTAAGCGTGTGTGTGTGTGATTGTGAGTGTGTTTGTGCGTGTGTGATTGTGCGTGTGTGTGTTTGTGTGTGTCATCTCGCTCGTGGTCATCATTCTTAACGCGTCCCGCCTTTTGCCCTCGCTGCGTTGGACCAAGCGGCTTCGAATGAGAAAGTCATAGTGAGCCCCTTGGGCTCCCGTCCGGCCCGACCTACGCCGCGCCGCCGCGAGCGCGGTCGCGGCGCCCAAGGTGGATCAGCCCAGGCCTCCCGCACCACAAGACCAACACTTGTCGGGCAACTTCCTGCCCCTTTGCGAACATCTGGGCGCTACAAATGTTTTCACACCTGGCGCCATCGCCCCGCGAAGTGGGGCCCCGGGGCGATCACACGTCGGTCCGGCCCGAGGAGCGGCGCAGAAGGATGGGGTCCGGGGCTCTGCTCGTGATCCGTCGCGGTCCTGCAGCTCTGGCAGCGGCGGATCTCGGGGATTGCGGCCTCTGGAGGCTTGCGTCTTCCGCGCTATGGTCAAGTCGGGCCTGTCCCCCTACAGGGGGATTTTGGACGAAGAATGCAAAAATATATTCAAAAATGCCCAACACATGCCCAAAAATACCCCCCAAAAATGATCCCCAGACTATTTTGTGGACTATTTTTGGAAAGGTGGAGGGGGACAGGCCCGACTTCACCCCAGGGAAAGGGGGGCGAGAGCCCCCACCGGGTCCGCGTCACTACAGTAGGAAGCCCCAAAAAATTATCCCCTGACTATATTGTGGACTATTTGTGGAAAGGCGGAGGGGGACAAGCCCGACTGAACCCCCGGGAAAGGGGGCGAGAGTCCCCACCAGGCCCACGTCACTGCAGTAGGAAGAGCTCTGACGCTGGAAGGTGGGGACGGGTGGCAGCCAAGACTCGGGCGGGGACCAGCTTGGCTCCGCTGGCTCAACCAATTCAGCAAACACGGGCGCCGCTTCACCCAGACCCCCGACGTCATGCATGTTTCATGGCGCGACCCCCAGAGGTCTGGACCCCTTCCCCGGGACCGGTTTTTGATCCCGAATCGTTTTTTGACGGCCCCGAGACCCGGCGAGGGCCCCCAGAGGCCGAAAACAGCGAAAAACCTCCCGTCGTGTTTTTGTTTCGCAGCGCGAGGGGGTCTGGGAATGGGGGGGCGACAAATGAGGGGCGGGGGAAACAGAAAAAGGTGCACT